GGCATTATTCAAGGCCCAGGAAGTGACCATGCAGAATTTAGAAAGTTCATGTACTGATTTCCAGCTTTCTCTCTTTTTCTTTTCCCATTTTCATATATGTTTTAGCCAGTACAATGAACCTGTAAACTACCTGAAGAAGGAATGAATTGGTTTTTGATTATTTGTATCTCTGAAGTACTTGGGGGATAAAAAAAATACAGCTGTGCTTAGTGGTGCCTATTAAAAGATGGCTTGGGCGAGCACCTCCCAGATGAAGAGCTGCATTGGCATTAACGCTGTAACTCCTTATGGTCACAGAGGCAGGATAAAAAAACACACCAGCTGTAGCGCTGGAACTGTTGCTTGTTAGAGGTATTTCTTCTTAAGGGAAACAGGAATTTGTAGCAGAGCCATGAGTCATTTAACGATACCAAGGATCAATGCAGATGGTATTACTGTTCCTGGAAAATGTAAAATGAGTTTGTTTTCAATTTAAAAAAAAAAAAAAAAAAAAATCAGTATTTCTCAGCTGATTCAAATAATGCAAAAGGCTATAGACAGTTTTCAACCTACATTCAAAAAATACAATTACAGTAATTCTTAAAGGTAACATAACATTGCTTAATTCTTGCAGTCCGTATGTCACCATTTGGGTATAAAATTTGTGCATACTAAGTTGACTGAAAGGTAAACAAATACATTGTGAAAATAATTGAGAAAAATCTACCAGTTTCAACTGTAAAAAAATTAACCCCCTATATTCGTGGAAATAGTGTTTGTTAAAGTGGTGACGTATTGTAACACTAAATGCAGCTGTTGGAGTTTTGCTGATCCAAATGACTGTTCAGATGGGGTTTTGAGACTCGAGTTTAAAATGAAGGGTGATCCCTCTTCTGTTACCCACAGCTGTTCTGAATTTCTCTAAGTGGTAAGTGCTGAGTCCTGTTGGAAAGCTTTAAAACAGAGGCAAGTGATACAGATTGATGTTGGAGACTATTATGAACTGAAAAGGCTATTTCCAGGTGGAAAGATGGGTGGATGAACAACTACTTATGATACTTAATAGTTGTTTGGGTTTTTTTCTGGGACCTTGCAGCCTCATAACGAACTGTTTCTTTATTCATGAAAATTAGACATCAGATGGATTTTAGTCCTTTATGTGATGGGTAAGTTGAATTATATTGCTTCCTTATGTAGGTGTAAGGGTACAGAGGCAGCATCTTTTTCCAACCTCTATCTAAAAATAGTGCCAGGTAGTTATTAACTTCGGCTGAAGGGTCAGATGGAATGCAAAGCAAACAAAAAAACATTTGCTCACTGTAGTTTCACAATTTCAGTCATTTTTTTTTTTCTGTTTGCTAAGCCCCCAAAGCTACATGTATTGTATTGATGTGGCAATGTATTGGAACCTTTCCTATGAAGGGACATCTGGGGGCAGTGACAGTCTGACACTCTGGTGCGTGACAGAGAGAAGTGTGTGTATGAGAGAGCAGGTATGCTTTTATTAATTTCTACACTAGTGTTATGTATTCATTCCTTCATCTGTTTTGTGATGGCATATACCTATGCCCTTAAGGAGCTCTGTCATTAGTGGATTAGTATAATTAGCTACCAAATGTCCAGGTGGAACTTTTGCTTGGAAGTCTAAAAAAGACAGTCTGTAAATAACTGTTTGCTAATTGTGTTTATAATAATCATCAGCTGCTGTGTAACAGACTAAAACTTCATTTATAAAACTAAAAGGGTAGAAGAGCAGTGTAGTGTGTATTGGATGCTTCTCATCATGCTTTTCTGCTTGCATACTCTGGGACAGTGCAGAAAAGGAGAATTTAGAGTTTTTAATTTGTTTAAAATTTTCTGCAATTTGTGAAATACTTGTGGCAGAATCCCTTTCCAACTACCACTTCACAGCTTTTAACAAACCATAGTGTCTGCTTCACAGTGGTAGAAGCATCTCCCAAAGTCTTATCAACAAACTCCGGCAGCTGTATTGGCATCGAAGGTGCCTGCTGCAGTGGTATTACCTTGCTTGGCAAAAGGTCCATTTACAGTTCTAGACTCGTGGAGTTTAGAAGGGGCATCTGGAAGTCCAGCTCCCTGCTCAAAGCAGGGTAAGGTAGCATGGTTTGCTCAGGACTTTGTCTAGGTAAGCTGGACACACTGTCTCTCTGGGCAACCTGTTCCAGTCTTAAACTACCCTCACAGAAGAGCTAGTTGGAATTTCTCTTGTTGCAGTTTGTGACCATTGGCCCTTGTCCTGCTGCATGATGCTGAGATGAGTCTGTCTTCTCTATACCTTCTTATTAGGTAGCTGGAGACAGTAGCAGTGCCCCCCCACCCCATGCCCACTGCTACCTTTCCTTCCCCCTGCCATTCTCCCTGGAAGGCTGAACTCGGCGCTGTTTCTCAGACATGTTGTGCTCCACCTCCCTGTCCATCTCTGTGGCCTCTCAAGGGACTTGCTCTGGTGTGTCAGTCTGTTTTGTACTGGGGAACTCAACATTGGACTCGGATGTGGCCTTGAGCACAGCACAGAGGTGAAGAATCCTTTCCCTTGAACTCCTAGCTATGTACGTGTTAGTTCAGCTCAGTATACAGTTGGCTGCCTTCATCACAAGGGCATATTGCTGAATCCTGTTTGATTTGCTGTGCAACAGTGTTCCCAGGACCTTTCCTGTAAAGCTGTTGTCCATCTAGTTGGCTCCAACCTGCCTGTTGCGTGAGGTGGTTGTGTCTCGGGTGCAGGATGGTGCATTTGCTTTGGTTAAACTTAATGAGATTTCTGTCAGCCCACTTGTCCGGTTTGTTGAGGACCCTCAGAATAGCATTCCCTGTTCTCTTGCATATTCACTACTTCCCCTTCCCGTTGTTTCCCTTTCCCCTCCAAATTAGTATTGTTGGAAACTTGCTGAGAGTGGACTCTGCATCATAAAGGTTACTGATAAAGTGGTTAACCAATTCTAGCTCCTGGAGAACACTTCTGTTAAATGGTTACCAGTTAGATTTTGTATCACTGATGACTGCTCTTTGAGCTTGGCAGGCCAGCCCATTTTTGACTCATCTTGCAATCCTGTCCTGGTTTCGGCTGGGATAGAGTTCATTTTCTTCCTAGGAGCAGGCATAGTGCTGTGTTTTGGATTTAGAATGAGAATAATGCTGATAACACACTGATGTTTTAGTTGTTGCTAAGTACTGTTTATGCCAGTCAAGGACTTTTCAGCTTCCCCTGCTCTGCCAGGGGCACAAGAAGCTGGGAGGGGGCACAGCCAGGAGAGTTGATCCAAACTGCCCCAAGGGCCATTCCATACCATATGACGTCATGGGCAGTATGGAAACTGGGGGGGTTGGCCGGGGAGCAGCGATCGCTGCTCGGGAACTGGCTGGGCGTTGGTTGGTGCATGGTGAGCAATTGTATTGTGCATCACTTACTTTGTTTATTATTGTTATTTATTATTTTCCCTTCCTTTTCTGGGCTATTAAACTCTTTATCTCAACCCACAAATTTTATACCCCCTGCCCCCCCCCCCGATTCTCTCCCCCATCCCACTGGGAAGTGGGGGGCAGTGAGCGAATGGCTGAATGGTGTTTAGCTGCCTGCTGGGTTAAACCACAACTCTGTATTTCACTGATTTGGGTACAAGGACGTTCCTGGCATGTTCCTTTCTAAACTCCTGCTGTGAAGTAATCTTTCAAAGCTAATGCAGTATTTTATAGGTGGCCCATCATCATGTGGCTCCTTTAGAGTAAGCTGAGTTACTGCACACGTCATGTACAGTATAGTTACTCCCACATGAAGAATGATGATAACTGGGTTTCAAGACAAGTTACTGAAAGCTTTCTGCTTCGTGTAAGTTTTCTTCACTTTTGAGTGAGACAATGCAAGCTCTTAAGAGATCATTTGTGCCCCAGTCAGTGTGGTTTGGATCAAAAGCTGTGAATTTGCCTTCCAATTGATAAAATCCTTGACTACAACCACATTTTTAAAGTAAGTTTGTGTAAATAAAGGTGGAAAACTGAGTACTTAAGACTCTCACCTTGTATTAAGAGACACTACTCCACTGTGACTTCACGCAATTCCTACCACATCACTCAGATACTGATTCTTGCGTATGAAAACTCCCCTTCCATTGGTGTAATTCATACTACATACATTTGGGAACCTTGGCTGTCATTCAGTACCAAGTATGAAATTAGGTCTCCTTAGATAGTGGGAAGGGAAAAAAAAAATCATACTAACAGTAATGCTAGGCAGTTTTGTCTTTTCAAGGATGAGCCAAACTTCATGAAAATTCGTGTTTTCAAGTTGTGTTTAAAAAAAAAAAAAAAAAGACATTAAGGGGAGATTTTATTGTAAGGGAGGAGGGGAAACCAACCTAAAGCGTTTCAAAAGCATGTGATGTCATAGATACAGCTTTTAAGTACATGTCAAATACCACAAAAGTATGTGGATAGGTATTTGCTACTCAATAGTTAACTTGTGTACATCAGGTCTCCTACGATGATCAAAGCAAAAGACCTTTTTCTAGTCCTATGCTTTTCTTCAGACTTTTGATTCCGCCCCCCTGCCCCCGAGATGTGGCATTCTGTTACTTGCCCCGGCTTTCCAAATATAGATGTAGTAACTACTTCAAGTGCATGACTATATTAACTGCAACCTTTGGAAAAAGTGAATGGCTGCTAGACATCATTTAATTTAAGAGTGACTCTTGCTGTAAAGACTGAACATCATCTTCCCATTCATTGTATTTCTACCTTCCTGTGAACTAAGTTACATTCTCAACAAACTATAGGAAAAATGGACTATAAAATACTGATCAAGCCATTCTGAGTTACCATCAGCAAATATGATGCATACTGTCAGAGGTTCTCTAAGGTTAATTGCTATGGCAAGCTCTATCAGATAGATGAAAAGTTGGCTCATTCTCACTGAGGAGAGTTCATATTGACATGTTCCTGAACTTAAACAAATTATTGTTAGCATCTGATCCTAGTTAAAGGACGTATTTGATTCTTCTATTTCAAAGGCTAAGTATTTAAAGCTATCATAAGGAAAAACCACTTTGAAGAGAATGATACTGGAGAGAGAAAGGGTTTGCTATCTTCTCATTTGAGTTAAGCAGCCATGCACTGTAACCAGTATTTGCTGTTACATGTACAAATGCCTATGGTTCTAAAATAGTAGCTTCACCTTCTGTTTCAACAACAAAAAATAGGTCAGAAGTCAGGTCAAGCACTACTTCATTTCAGACTTGATGGTGGATTTGAATGGTTTAAACATTACAAGCTATGCTTCAGAGCCCAAATAGGTATGCTTAAACATGAGTACAGACAAAATTTTGTGGTGAATACTGTTAGCATGCTGTATTGCATTATGTCCAAAACAACCCATTCCCAAATGCCCAAATAAAAGTAAATGATTGTGCATTGCATGATGATACCATTAGGTGTGCAGCTTTGGTTCATGCAAAGTCTCATTTTATGGACACACTGCTGATAGTCCATATATTCCTGAAGATTCTGCATATGTGAGCTTTTCAGCCATGTTCTTTCCATAACACCAAATGGATACTATGGTCTGGCATACTGGTGGCAAAAACCAAGCCCATATCATTTTGGCCATTTAGTCCATTTAACCAGGACATTTCACCAGCCAAAAAGCTTGAACCTCTCTTTGACTTTCTATACTCTGGTAGAGGCCAGCGGCTTATCAGTTTTTCTGTCCTCAAGTCCATTATATACAGATATCTGTTATCAAACAGTAGAGCAAATATCTCTCCAAAGCCCAGCAAGGACACATTTGAGAAGTCAGGAGGTTTGATAACCCTAGAAGACAAGACAACATTGTTAGAAACTCAGTCACGATGTAGTCATGAACCTGCATTACTAAAACAAATCTTTAAGTGGCTATAGAAAGTAAGTGTCTAAACTCATCATTCTGAAAGGATTTAAAAAGAACTGGATGCAAGTTTTTCAAATTAAGCAACCGAACAGTTAGCTGGAGTTAGGCCTGTGGTTTCAGTTCTGGCTTTGTGCATTCAGGACAGACCCTTCTGAACACAAGTAAAGGTTAGGGTTTGAAAGGGATTCTGCAAAGCACAAGGGAAAAAAAGTCTTGTTTCCAGATACACACAAAAGAGCAAGTGTACTTGTGTTTTACAGTAAATTTCCATAGGGATTTCATGCCTCATTAAGTTAAGAGGTAACACCCTTTCTTATTCTTTAAACCACTCTTAAAAGCTGGGAATAAAACACAGAAATGCCTTCTTGTCATAAGAAGGTAAGATAAATCATTCAAGACTGGTGCTTAACAGAATGCTGTTTTACTGACGCTTAGCATAAGTTAAGCATTTTTCATCTTCGGGAGAAATAAAAGTATTTGTTAGTTCTCCTACACCTTTAGGGTATTTTTGCCTTAATAAATAAAACTTGGACCAGAAAGTGAAGAGAGTAAGTTTTCCACAACTGACTGAGCATTTGATCATAGCTTTACATAAAGCACAGAACTGAGGCACAAAAATTTATGGAGATGAAAATCTGTTCTCAGCAGTAAGAGAACATCTTTCTCTTTTGAAAGATGGGAGAGTAAACTAAGAGGTGAAATTATTCAGTTATTCTTACTGATAAGCACTTCTTTTGGAGTAGATCTTCCTATGGTAGATCCCTTACAAATATGGGGCCGTTTCAATTAAGAGTCTGCTAACAGTTCTAAAATGCAATTTTTTCTTTAATAAGTTACAATCTTTGATGCTACCATTTCTAACAGATACAGCCTCGTTCTTTTTATGGAAACGGGAAGTGATCCTGTTTGATCCCTTACTGCAGACCGACAGATTTCGCTGTCGTTCCACAGCATTACCGAGAATGACAGATCAGTAGTGCTAGAAGGAAAAAGAGTCTTTTAAATTTCTTGTCTCATCAAAGGACCCCCAAAAATGGCCGCCTGGTTCTCTGTACAGCAGTCTCCATGGCAACATTAAGTTCTAGTCACTACAGTTTCACATTCACAACTACAGCACTGCAGTCTGATTTAAGTCTGTATTGAAACCCTCCAGCTTATGGAATGAAAATATGAAAGAGCACTAGCCCGTGGTGAGAAAACAAAACAGTAATCAAATTATTTGTATTAACAGATGATAAATTAGAATTAAACCTGGCAATAAGTGTAAAGGAAGATGTTTACAGAAATTTTATCAAGATTCTTTTGGCCTACATCTAAAGTAAGTTATTAAAACTAGTATGCTGTACTTTTTATTTATTTAAAGAAGACTAAGTCTTAAACTGAAAGATTTACCTGAGAATATCATAGCTGGCAAAGTCCCACTGGTACAGTCCTAGTGCTGAACTGCACACTATGTATTTACCATCAAAGTGCAGTCTGGGCTGTAGGGAGATGCTGCGATCTTCAGAAACAGACAGTGTTTTTAAGCACTTGCAGTTTATTTCCCGTCCAATAGGCCAAATCTACAATTAAAACACAGTTTAAGACCATAAAACATTCACTTTATAAACTGTTACACAAATAGAGCAAACCTCACAGTCTCTCTTAAAGCACTGGGCAAATGTGTGCGTGTTTCTTCAGAAATATTTACCTCCTTTAGGTAGCAACATCAATTCTGAAACTGATTTGTCTTACGGTATTGTTGCAGTATGTGGTGTTTCTAGCCTAAAAATTCCCAGTGAAAATGGGTGCTTTAAAGAACAGCAAAGAAATCAACCATCCAATTGGACAGAAATGTAACAATGTTTCAGGTATGAAGCAGTTCCATAGCCACAAACTATTTACAGCACTCTCCAACCCAAAAGTCCCCAATAGTAACAGTACTTGCAGTGAAGTGCTTCACTGTCAAGTTAGCACATTAGGCGTGCACTGAAAGCACTTATTTTTTGTATTACCATTCATGTAGAGCTATCATTTAAATCTAAACATGAAGGAAAGCATTGAAAAGTTAGCTTCCGAAGAGTTGCACATCTTGTACGCACCTTTACAAGCAGGGAATAAGGGAGGAAATAAAAACTTGTATTACTTGTAAACTTCAGCAAAGCACTCAAGCATTTTATTTCCCTGGGTACTAAAATGATATATGTATGATATAAGGTACATACCTTGATTTCATACTTATCTGCACTTAGAAGAATGTAATCCCCAGGACTATGCATAAGAGATTTGACTTTGCACTTCTGCAAAACTACCTGTAATTGAAGGATGTAATGATTTATGTTGATGCTGTTAAATAACCACACTTTCATTTGCATTTTTCACTTCATTGACAACCTGCATACTGTACTCTTGTATAAAGGCAATACAAATACTTTTTGCAACTGAAGGGAAACTACAGTTTACACTTTTCTTGTTCCTACTAGTGACAACTTACTGTATTAATAAGCGAAGATATGTACTTCACCTCTAGATTCACCCCTCCAACCTTCCAAGTTCTGAAATGCTCAGAAGAAAAATACTGTTTCTTGACTTCAGAACACTTTTCATGCTCAGATTTTGGTTACCAAGATCATTAGCTTCTCTACATAATTTTAGAAGTAGCTTTCTTTCAGAACCATTGTTTTCATTCAGTCTTTGAATCAAACACTGATTCCTAATATTATTCCAGCTGCTTTGGAATGGAAATACCTTCGATGGTCTGAAAGATTTAATTATAGCTTCTTTAAATATTTTTTTCTGCTGAAATGTTATTTTGAAGTATTTCCTGATGTTATTCAGATTCTACACCTAGGTGCAGGGTTAGGATTAAGAAATAGAAATTTAGAACACATTACAAACTTATTGCAAGTAAGTGTTTTGCAAGATTAATTAAAATCAATATTCCCACCTTAGTGACCCATTCTGTGTGTCCAGTAAGGGTATTCAGGCACGTTCCTGTTGATAAGGCCCATACTTTCACAGTGAAGTCTGCAGAGCCACTGACCAGAATATCAAGTTCATCATTGTAATCCACGCTAAAAACTACAAGCAAAGAGGGTACTAAATAAGGAGCACCGGTCTCTATGCACGCATTTTTCTGTAAGTGAGGCACTAACTAGGTCATACAGCCTCCAAATTCATATGCTACTACAGCTTTAACTGTTGTTCTTGAACTGTATATGTGAATTGTTGCTCTGGATTCCTAAGCTTACACTGCAAAATTACTGATTTTTGTCCAAATTAAGAGCATGTACATCAGTGGTTCCTTTATGGTTTGATTATGGCAAAGCATAACTTAAGCTAGTTCCTATTTTAAGAGTTCTAGTAAGTCAATTCCAGCAGGATTAGTACATTTGAAACATCTCATTACTCACAGGGGAACAGACCTACAGCTGAGTTGAGGATACTCTTCAGTAGAGGACAGAGAAGTTAATTATGAGGCAAATGCAAATACAGACTCCCAGGTCCTATTGTGCTCTTTGCTGTAAGCCCATCTCCACTCTGGGGATATAAAGAACTGCTATTGCCATGTGCTCCCTGCCTCCTAGGGTTTGCATCTTTTTGGTAGACTCAAAGTACTGAGTAACTATGGCATTTACTATTATTTCCATGCAACTGCAAAACACTACATGGCTAAGCTTTGGCATTATTCAAGAGCAGACAGATCTAGATCTGTTCTGGCTATTTCCCCCCACCCCAAACGGTGACTTGGGACAGAGCCAAAAAAAACCCCACAACCCTATCATGCAAAGAGCTAACTTAAATTATAATTTGTTTGATGATGATGTATGTTACTTAACTGGTGAAATTAAAAATTGAAAAGTTCAACATACCTGCACCAGTATGTCCTCTAAAATGCTGTGTCTTTGCCCCAGAGCTCCATTCCCAACAGGCTACTGTGTTATCAAAAGATCCTGTTACAAGCTTTTGTTCATCAAACTTCACTGCAGCACAAGTGTGCGTCTGAATACCATATATGCACTGACCTGTGCTTACATCCCACAGTTTTGCAGACAAGTCATCTGATCCTAGAATATAAAAGAACAGGGTAATTGGAAGCAAAGAGTAAATAATATTCCCAATTCTATACTCATCTTCCATGTTTGCCTTAAATATAGTATTGTCATGGAATCACAGAATGGTTATGGCTGGAAGGGACCTCTGGAGGTCAGCTCTTCCAACCCCCCAACTCAAGCAGGGCCACCTAGAGCCAGTTGCCCAGGACCACAACCAGATGGCTTTTCAGTATGTCCGAGGATGGACGCTCCACAGTTTCCCTGGGCAACCTGTGCTCAATCACTCTTACAGCAAAAAAGTGTTTTAGAGGGAACCTCCTGTGTTCCAGTTTGTGTCCACTCCCTCTTGTCCTGTCACCGGGCACCACTGAAAAGAGCCTGGCTCCATCTTCTTTGCACCCTCACTTCAGGTATTTACATACATTGATAAGATTGTCCCAGAGCCCTCTCTTCTTTAGCATAAAAAGTCCTAGCCCTCCCAGCCTTTCTTCATATGAGAGATGCTCCAGTCTCTTCATCATCTTCATGGCCCTTCATTGGACTCTCCAGTGTGTCCATGTGTCTCTTGTACTGAGGAGCCCAGCACTGCCCAGACACGTAACTCCAGGTGTGGCCTCACCAGTGCCCAGTGGAGGGGAAGAAGCACCTCCCTCAGCCTACTGGCAACACTCCTCCTAAAGCAGCCCAGAATACCATTAGCTGCCTTTGCAGCAAGGGCACACTGGTGGCTTACATTCAACTTGGTGTCCACCAGGATGCCTGGGTCCTTTTCTGCCAAGCTGCTTTCCAACTGGGTAGCCCCCAGCATATACTGGTGCCATGGAGTTGTTCCTCCTCAGGTGCATGGCTTTGCATTTCCCCTTGTTGAACTTTTCTCATTAAATAGTACTTTCAAGCTGCCTGAATGGGGAATAAGCCCTAGTTTTAAGTTTCAGCACTACAGCAAAGCCTCTTGTTTTCATGTTAATTAAGCTACTAGATGTCTGGCCTTGCAGTTTCATCATACCCTTTTAGCACCTTCCATAGATTCCAGCACTGCCTCTGACTGACAGTGTCTCTACCGAAACAGATGCGTAGAAGTTTTACATGATCCACTCTCAGGTTTGCAGAGCCACTGACTATACTGCAAGCTTTAGTTTGTTTCAGGTAGGAAAGGAGTCCACCAAATCTCAAAAGACAGCAGATGAATACCAGGCCCCATCACCTGCCAGTTTCCTTTCTCTCCCCAAAGTCCTTTTTTTTTTTTTCCTCTTTAAACTCATAACAGTAAGTCCAGACTGCTGGCTTTGGAGAGAAGAATAAAACCCCGGACCCTTACACCTGTTGTTTCTCCTGGTGGTTCCATTACAGAAGTGTGCCACTTTTCAGAAAGTTTTAACAATGCTGCTTCCTCTGTATTTGCATTCCCTGTTGAGTAGGGAAGTGAAAGACTGGCTAGAGTCTAGTTGTTGGTTCCTAGTAACCATGTTAACATAACAAATATGCAAGTACTTAGCCAGTATTCCCAACTTACTCTATAGCATTGTCATCTGAAATGATCGGGAAATCCTTGGAATATGCTCTGACAGGAGTTCATTGTAACTTTGTTAGTATTCTTTCATCCTTAAGGTTTCATATTTGTTCTGGCTGTATTTTTAAGTTCAAACTGAAATCTTGAAGTCTGCAGACTTCAGGGAGGAAGGTGAAATTACCATTACAATGTGCAAGTCAGACTGCAAGGTTAAATCTAGTTTACAGGTCTTCATACAAGCACTTACATTACGTTAAGAACTGAAAGTGCTTACAGACTGTATCAGAGAAATTGCCTTGTTTCAAGGAAGAAGACAGACTTTTCCTGCCACAGTCTGGGAGACTGCAGTGATCACATTGCCCAAACACGGTCCCTTTAACTGGAAGTTATCCTCTAAGAGGATAACTAACATATCTGTACTTCTCAAACGGGCTTACTAATCTGAAGCATGATACCTGCTGTTACTGTTTTTTTAACGAACAAAGAAATTGGTCTCCTTGTTTTCCTATTAAAGTGATTAATGATGTGTGCCAGGTGTTTCAGAAATTGGAAAAAAAAAAAATTTGAATCATCTTAAACTGCGTTAGCTCTATGAAAGTAATCTGTCTGCTAAAGGAAAAGCAAATTGTCATTAATCACATGGGGGAGGGGGGCAGAGAAAACAAAGAATTGTAAGACTCCAAGTTTTCTGTCCTTCCTACCTGTACACAGAAGTCCATCTTTATAGTAAAGTGCATATACTCTGGCACTGTGTCCAATTAAAGAGGATGTCTCAAAGGCTTCGTGGTCCTTCAGTTGCTTCATCCTTAAAATAGCCTTTAGGTAAACCTTCTTCCAATGCAGAGGGTCCTGAACAGAGTCATCTATTTGCCAACCCAAATTCTTACATGCAGTCTGCCACACCTCTGTACAGGCACTTATAACCTTATTCCACTGCTTAGAGACGAGGCAACATGTGAGTAAGGTCTGAGGATCAAGCCATTTTAACAGATAAAAACTAAGTTCCAATGGAAGAAGTTTGAGGAAGTCCCTCTTGAGGAGAATCTCTAGATTATTGGAGAGGTGCCTGAGCTGGACTGCTCCACTCAAGCTAATCAGGTGATCCAGAGTTTCATTTTTCTGCAAGTCCGTCAGAGAAAGAAATGTAATAGAAATGTTATCAAGCCATGCTTCAAAGTCCTTTTTCTCCATAAGGTTATGGAAAAATTTACCTGTGATACATCAAAATACTGTATTAGTTCCGTTCAGAAAACAAGGTAAGCATCACATCTTTATTACTGGTACATCAGTATTCCAAATGGCATGTTAACACACAGACTGAAGTGACCAAATGCATTTTAAAATATTCATTAGGTTAGGACTAAGCATTTGCATGCACTTTGAACTATCATTTGTCCCACATCAGCCTTAGAAGTGAATTGTATGGAGCTAGTGAATGTTAGCATTCATTATGAATGTTAGCATCTTTCTTGTTCTAGGTTAACACTTTCAAATTCCGAATCCAGTAAGGTAAGGGTTAGTTTAAGTTTTAAACCTATTATAGCAAATAAACACTGTCTTACAGTTTACTCATGGACTGTACTGATAAAGGGAAGAAACCAAAGCATATAAGCAGAGCGATAAGCTAGTTACTGACAGAACTTATTCATACCTTTGTCCTGAACTATTTTAAACACAAAGCAGGTAATTATATTTTTTTTTTAAAGAAGATACAGAGAGGGGTCTGAAAAATTGTGTTGAAGGACATGTTAGCCTTCTATTTGGCTCATGTAAAGGCTATATATGGTGCTGGTCTAGTATCAGTTTTGACATGTTTGCACTGCTTTGACCTAAACACTTTTTTTTAAAATCCCTGGGTTTTTTTCCTATTTTCTCAGTTTATTTCCAATGAAAAGAATTAACTGTGAAATTGAAAGTTTCAAATACCACATCCTGAACTATGCAACCTGTATGCATTTATACTACCCTGTGGCATCTCAAGTTCCTACAATAAGCTTGGACAAGTGATTAACAAGATAAACATCGGGCAAACAGTTAAAAAGCCATCATTATTTATTTTCTCTGGAAGATCTAATTCCATTCATTAGACAACTGGCTGAATTTAATTCATAGAAGCTCCCAAACCCAAAGAATTGAGGAAGCTGAGTGGGAGTCAATAATGTGTTTATTTCTACACAGATATTTTCTTCATAGAACAAGATCTTAGGGTACACCTCTTAACGTGGCATAGTAGTACAGAAAAGTACAGTCTTCACTATGAAAGGCTGCACGTGGCATGCAATCGTTGATAAAAACACAAGAAGGTGCTGGGTGTCAAATGCACAGAAATAGCTGCTCCTATCAAGTCACAAGTTCATACAGGAACTTTTACTGCTGACAGCACTTACCAGCGTTCCTCAGCACATATGGCAGAGAATATATTTGCTGTTCTAACAGGCATACGTTCTCTTTAAAGGAAACAAAAATTTCTAACAGGCTCCCTATGAATAAAAAATAGGTGAGCTCTAAGGCGTTTGTTGTATTCAATACACGAAGCTAACACTGCCATCAAGGG